AAAAACAAAAAAAAGGGGCCGGGGAGATGGCTCAGTGGAATATGTGCTTCCCTGGCAGGTGCAAGGGCCTGAGTTCAATCCCCCATTCCACCAAAAAAAAAAAAAAAAAAAACAGAAAGCCCCTGTCTGTGAAAGAGGAGCACAGTTTCAAAATGCTGTCTAAATAGAACCAGAGAAAAAAGGAATCAATTTCCTGTGCCAGCAGCCCTGGGAACACCACCATGGGGAGGCAGCGCTGCGATTCTGCTGTTCCATCGGCCCTGACTTCCAGCGTAGACTCAGCCTCCTGCGAGATGAGTGAGGAAGGATGGAGGATGTGTGTTCACCGGCTGAGATGTGACATAAATACTTGGGGAGCTCAGCTCGTGCGGGCTTTTCACAAATAGGGTGGAAGGGTTTTGTGTCATGACTCCCTCTTCCATGTCTAACTTGTAGGAGACGGTGACCTTCAAGGACGTGGCTGTGAACTTCTCGAAGGAGGAGTGGGCTCTGCTGGATCCAAGTCAAAAGAAGCTCTACAGAGATGTGATGTGGGAGACATTTAGGAACCTGGCTGCCGTAGGTAAGGTAGATACATTCTTCTCATTTATGCGCTGAGAGAATCGGATCCTGCTCTTCAGCAGAGTTTCCTTAATGGGAAGCTGGAAGCCTTAGGAAGCACCTTCTAGGCCTGGTGTTGTTTAACTGACTCAGGCTGGAGTCTACATGTTTTCATATGTGTACTGAGTCCTCAGGACTTGTCTGTTTGTGCCCTTTAGGGAGGAGCTCAGGTGACCGGCACGTTGATGATAAGGACGGGAAATGCGGGAAACAGCTCAGGTAATGTGTCCTCAGGAAGGAAACTTCTCATATCAGAATGTTAAGCCAAAAAAAGTGCACAAGAAAGACCGTGTGCAAACTTCTTTAATCTTGCAAAATTCCTCACTGGACATATACACATTGAATATCTATAGTCTGACAGTTGAGTATTTGAAACATTTTATTTATTTTTATTTTATTGAAAAATAAATATGAATGAGACAATTTCAAAGCTGAATAATAGGACAGTTTTTTTTTAAGTTTATTAAAAGTTACTGAATAACTGTGTTTATCATCTTATATATTCTGCCTTGCTTTTTTTTTTTTTTTTTTTTTTTGCAGAACTGGGGATTGAACTCAGACCCTTGCATTTGCCAGAGAAGTGCTTATTCCACTGAGCCATCTCCCCAGCCAGGATAGTTTCGATAATCAATATATTGTACATTGTTATCTTCTTAGTGGTTAGTACAAGAAGCATGTCCAACCACTATTGAAACATTTCTATATTTGAAATGTAGGTGTTGCTCATATCGTGCCAAATCTGACATCATTGAAATAATGTGAGAGAACATTGTTAGGTGGGTGAGTTAGTGCCTGCCTGTGATCCTAGCATTCTGGAGGCTGAGGCAGAAAAATTGCGACGAGTTCCCGGCCAACCTAGGCCACACAGGAAGTGCAAGGCCAGCATCAGCTGCAGAGCGAGACCCTGTCTGAAATTCCAAAGTGAGCCCAAGTTTTGTTTCATGTTCAGATGTGTAGATACATTTGATGAAACTGCATTTATTTTCTCCCCTTAGCAACTGTGCAGATGAAGGTCTTTCTTCTAGAAGGATCCTGGCCGGTCATTCATCAGCACGAGGGCCCATGATTGCTAACACTGCAGTCAAACCATATCAAGAGCAGGGATTCCAAGAGAAGCTGTTTGCCTCCAACAAGCTTAGAAAAGCCTGCACCACACTCCAGTCCCTTCAGAAATATGCAAACACAAGTCCTCAGGAGAAGGTCCATGAACATATGCTATGTGCAAAACCATACTCTGATGTCCCCGAAGAAAGTACCATCACAGAAAACCCGGATGACAATTCATTCATTACAGCCAAGAATGTCAAAATCAGGGAAAGTGGTCACCTTGAAGTGGATTTGTATCCACGTGTACCACACAGAAGTTTTAATTCTCCCTCCAATGTTGAGGCACATGAAAAAGCTCACCGTGGAGAAAATGCCCATGTACGTAAAAACGACAGAAAATCCTTCACTACCAATTCAATGGGTGACCTTCAAAGTGATACTGAGCAGAAAACTTATGTATGTAAGCAGTGTGGGATAGCTTTCACTGCAAGCCGTAAGTGTCAAAGACATGAAAGAATTCACACTGGGGAGAAACCATATAAATGTAAGCACTGTGACAAAGTTTTCAATGACCCTGGTAATTGTCAAAGGCATGAACGGACTCACACTGGGAAGAAACCCTACGTGTGTAAGCAGTGTGCGACAAGTTTTGGTGAACTTCGTGCCTGTCAAAGGCATGAAAAGACTCACAGTGAGGAGAAACCGTATGCATGTAAGCATTGTGGCAAAACTTTCAACAGACTAGATAATTGGCAAATCCATGAGCGGACTCACACTGGGGAGAAGCCCTACCCATGTAAGACATGTGGGAAAGCGTTTGTCACACATCATAGATGCCAAATGCATGAACGAATTCACACTGGAGAGAAACCCTATGCGTGTAAACAATGTGGCAAAGCTTTCCTTGAACGTCACGCTTGTCAAAGGCATGAACGGACACACAGTGGTGAGAAACCTTATGTATGTAAGCTATGTGGGAAAGCTTTCAGCAGCAAAGTCGGTTGGAAGTCACATGAAAGGAATCACACAGAGAAACCCTATGTAAGCGAACAGTGTGGGAAGGATTTCAGCACACCTCAGTCCTGTCAGCAGCCTGAATGTGCTCAAACACCGAAGAAACCCTATGTTTGTAAGCACTGTGGCAAAGCCTTCAGCAGAAAGGACAAAAGGGAAATGCATGTGCGGAGTCACACCGGGGAGAGACCCTATACGTGTAAGACATGTGGGAAGGCTTTCAGCACACAGCATACATGTCAAATACATGAGAGAATTCACACCGGGGACAAACCCTTTGCATGTAAGCAGTGTGGCAAAGCATTCGTCACGTGTGATGCATGTCAGAGGCATGCACGAACTCATACTGGGGAGAAGCCCTACGTATGTAAGCAGTGTGGCAAAGCTTTCAGCGATCGTGCTGGTTGCCAAAAGCACGAGCGGACTCACACGGGGGAGAAACCCTACGTATGTAAGCAGTGTGGCAAAGCATTCAATAGCAGATACAGTTGGCGAATGCATGAACGGACTCACACTGGAGAAAAGCCCTATGAATGTAAGCACTGTGGCAAAACTTTCATCAGAATGGATAATTGGCGTGTTCATGAACGGAATCACACTGGGGAGAAGCCGTATGTATGTATCCATTGTGGGAAAGCGTTTGTTATACGCAGGGATTGTGAAACACACATGCGGAGTCACACAGGGGAGAAACCCTTTGCATGTCAGCATTGTGGGAAAGCTTTCACTACACGTCGTTTTTGTCAACTGCATGAATGTACTCACACTGGAGAGAAGCCTTACACATGTGTACAATGTGGGAAAGCTTTCAGCAGCAAAGTAGCCTGGCAGAGACACGAACGGATTCACACTGAGGAGAAACCCTATGTATGTAAGCAATGTGGACGAAGCTTTAGGACACATTATAGGTATGAAACACATGAAAAAATTCACAGTGGTGTGCGACCCTATGCATGTAAGCAGTGTGGAAAAACCTTCATCACACGTCACAGGCGTAAGACCCATGAAAGAATCCACACCGGGGAGAAACCCTATGCATGTAAGCAGTGTGGCAAAGCTTTCTACACACGTTGTGATTGTCAAAGGCATGAGCGGACTCACACTAGAGAGAAGCCCTATGTGTGTAAGGAATGTGGCAAAGCTTTCAGCAACAAATCCAGCTGGCAGATTCATGAGAAAAGTCACACTGGGGAAAAGCCCTATGTGTGTAAGGAATGTGGGAAGGCTTTCGTCACAAATCGCAGATGTAAAATTCATGAAAGAATTCACACTGTGGAGAAGTCCCGCGTGTGTAAGCAGTGTGGGAAAGCTTTCATCACACAGCGTAGTTATGAAGTACATCAAAGAGCTCACACTGGGGAGAAACCCTATGTGTGTAAACAGTGTGGGAAAGCTTTCAGTACCCAAGGTGTTCTTCAAAGGCATGAACAGACCCACACTGGAGAGAAGCCCTAGGCATGTAAGCAGTATGGCAAAGCTTTCAGCACAAAGGACAGTTGGCGGATTCATGATCGCACACATATGATGGAAAAGCTGTGTAGCTGTGAGCATTGTGGCAAGGCTTTCCTTTCAAGTGGCCTATGTTGGAGGCACATGCAGAGTCACACATGGGAGAAACCCTAAGTATGGAAGCAATATGGGACAGCTGAGCACAAACGACTTGTGAAAGGGGTCACACCGGTTAGAATCACCGGAAGCAGCCAGTGTGGGAAAACTTTTGCCCTACTTCATTGCTGAGTAAAGGGCGGACAATGGAGAAAAACGCTGTGTGTGTAAGCAGTGCATGGAAACCCACGTCTCAAAGATTGTTAAATACAGACCTGCGTGCGGCAGGAGTCCACAGTATGTAGCAATGTGGTGAAGCTTTCAGATTGTTTTTTGTTTGTTTGTTTGTTTGTTTTGGCAGAACCGGGGATTGAACTCAGACCGTTGCGCTTGTCAGGGAAGCGCTTATTCCACTGAGCCATCTCCCCGACCCCAGCTTTCAGATTGTGCAGACACTGTCTGCAACATGGATGGACTCTCCTTGGAGAGAAATAATGTGTATATAAGTGTGGGTTAGCCTTCAGCAGACTCCGAGTGTGTCCAGCTTACTAGAGGACTCACTCCGGCAGAACTCCTGTGGATGTAATCAGCGAGGGAAAACTTTGATTACACATTGTATTTGTCAAGTAATATGGGGAATAAACCTGTGTACGTAAGCAGTGTGGGAAAGCCTTCAGCTCATGCATCACTGTTAGATGGGAAGGGACATACTGTAGTGCTATTCACGGCAGCGGTGCACCCATTACTCAGAAGCGGATGCCAAGTCCATGAAATAAGTCATTCTCACGAAGTCTGTAGAAGGAGTTAGGAAAAGGCTCTCAGCAGTGAGGAGCGTGACATTGAGGAGGGAGAGTGGTGGGCCTCACCGTCAGGACATGAGACGATGTCATAGTGGCCAGGGAGATGGCTCAGTAGAAAAGTGCTGCCCTGGCAAGTGCAAAGGCCTGAGTTTAAGCCCCAATTCCACGAGGGTGGGGAGGGGGGCACACACCATCTCATGGGGCTCAGCACTGCTCCTCTGAATGTCATGTGGATAGGCCACACCCCTGATGGGAAATTGGTCATGTCCTGGTGCTATGCCACTGGGATTATAGGACAGATGCCTGCTCTGTCAGACTTACCTTCTCCTGTACAAAGTGGCCGGCACCGCCACAGACAGCAGGTGTGGCTGTGCAGACGACTGTGCTTCCTCTTGCCAGAGGTTAGTGCCCAGAGCACAAGACAGGTTACCTACAGCTTGTGGAGTCATCCTCATGGGAGGGTACAGGCAGGAAAGGCTCACAAATCTGAAAAGAATAACATGGTGGGCTTGGTGGGAATCACAAGGAAGTCCAAGGTTTTGCATGATCAATGAACATTTGGGTTTTTTTGTTTTTCTTTTCTGTATTTTAGGGAAGGGTTTACAGGGAGTTCAGAATCTCACTACTAGATCGGACTCAGTGATCTGCCTGTTTACAGCCTCCTGAGAGCTGGGATTACAGGTGCGCGCCACCACGCCCAGTCTCAGTAGCTGTCTCAGCGTGACCCGGGGGCAGCGCCTGCACAGCAGGGTGGAGGGAGATCAAGACCCCACCCCTGCTCCTGCTTGCAGGCTCTGTAAGACGCTGAGCTTTTATTTTTCTTTCTTTTTGCGGAACTAGGGATGGAACTCAGGCCCTTTTGCTTACCAGGGAAACGCTTATTCCACACTGAGCCATCTCCCCGGCCGGGTGCTGAGCTATTTGACTGACCAACGTATGGGTTTTTGAGCAAGGAGAACATGTGGTCCAGTTTATTTTGTTACAGATTGAAGCCTTTTGTTAAACATAGACAACCCCTTTGATCACGGGAACCCCTAAACAAGACTGCACACAGGGAAATTTCTTTAAAAAGGGAGTGACTGGGACCGGGGAGACATCTCAGTAGAATAAGTGCTTGCCTGGCAATCGCAAGGGCCTGAGTTCCAGCCCCGGTTCCACCAAAAAATAAAAAGTGACTGAAAACCGGCCTATGCTTTTGGCAAATAGCTCAGCAGATTAAAGCTCCTGCAAGCAGGCACAGGGATCAAAAGTTCAATCCCCTGGCCTGGCATGCTGGCTCCTCCCCCAGGGTTCACTTGAGTTGGCAATTGAGACTGGGCATGGTGGTGCGCATCTGTAATCCCAGCTCTTAGGAGGCTGTAAGCAGGAGGATCACTATGAGTCCATTCTAGTAGTGAGACTGAACACCCTGTAGACCCTTCCCTAAAATCCAAATGAGAAAAAAAAAGCCTTATCAATACATGCATCATCAAATTTGTTCCTGGTTTGGAACAGTAAGCGCACCCTGGGGGCAGGGCAGGCTAACAAGCTCAGAGGTCGAACCCCCGGCCCCTGCGCCTACTTGCAGGCAATTTAATCCATATTTAGTGAATTAATTGGAAAGACATGTTACATAAGAGCAGTTTAACACTCAAAATTCTTTTTTTTTTTTTTCCTTGTCAAACGGGGGGTTGAACATCGGCCCTTGCGCTTGCCAGGGAAGCTACTGAGCAATCTCCTCAGCCCCTAATACTTGAAATTCTGATCCTAAAAGCAATCAAATGATGACTCCAGCTAGAATATATGCTTTGAGCCCACTTGAGCAGGACATGCTAATCCTGTTGCACGGAGCAGGCGCAGAGCGGCCACAGCTGGGCCGCTGAGACCCCCCCCTGTGCCTGGAGTGCCCCTCTTACTGTGATCCAAAGGAGGCGTGTCACCTTTTCGTGGGCACAGGGAAGCGCAGCCAAGGACTTCCCGTAAATCTCAGAGGAGATTTGGGATGGGGACTTCTCAAGAATGCACACAGTGCTTAGTGTCTATAACTGCTCAAGTGTCCCCTGTGTTGCTCTTAGGATGTCTGATGCCATCTGATCTTGGAGGGTGACCTGCCACATTCGTTCAGGAGGGAGACAAGTCCCAGTGTCAGTTGAGGTCCGTGGGGTGTAGTTACCACAGGTGGGGTGCGCTACCCAACATCATGTAGCCCAAGGGAATGGACAAAGCCCAGGATGACACTAGTGACACGCTGCTGGAGCATCCATGCCACAGGCTGGCAAAGGTGGAAGGTCTGCTAATACATACGACACTGCTGACGGGTAAGCATGGGGATCCCAGGGTGCATCTTCCTGTCCCTCCACGGGAGCCAGGCCCACACCTTGGTTCCACAGCACCCATGAGTGGCACTGGGGGCTTCCCCTCTAATCTAGGAGCAGTCGGACCATGGGGTGAACACCTACAGAATGTCAAATTACTGTGCTTTTTCATGATTCTGGTGGTGTCCAAGCCGGGTGTGTAATAGAGCAGTGACAATAGGTGTGGTATTTCAGTTCCCAACTTAATGGTGCATTTCTGCTACAGTGTGCTACAGTAGAGGTTAACCATAGATAATCCTGATACCTGAAAATAATCACCTTTGTATCTGTGGTTGTTGCTCCTCATCCCCCCCCCGAACTGGGGATTGCACTCAGGCCCTTGCGCTTGCCAGGGAAGCGCTTACTCCACACTGAGCCATCCGCCAGCCCCAATCCAGACTCATAAGAATGTAGCATATGCCCACTCAGCAGCTGCCGGGTAACAGTGAAACTTCATAGCTCACCGGTAGTGCCGCAGTTTATTGCAGTCATCTCCTTAGGTGGGAATGCCACCCGAGGAAGTCCACAGCTGAGCGGCAGTCAGCATAGCGAGTTCGTGCTTACTAGAACGGCTCTGCATGTTCCGATGCCCATCTGAGAAGGGACTTGCGTTGTCCCTTAAGATCAACCTGGAAAATGGACATGTGTGAATGTCAGAAATGACAGTGGAGCGCTTACACGCTGCTGTGGCGAAGGTCACCTTGTCCAGGCCCCAGAGACAGCTGGGAGACCGTCACAAAAGTAGACAGTCACCATATGGCCAGCATTTCTGCCTGCAGGCTTGCATCCCAGGAAATGGGAGGCAGACTTACCACACCCAGAAATACTTATGAATGCTCACAGCAATGTTTTGCATGTCATTATCCTCCGAACGTGGAAAAACCAAACAAATCGCCCTGCATTGATGAATCCATACATAAAATGTGTGGTTACGGAAAATACACCGTCAGCAAGGACTAGGCTGGGGGGACAGCTCACAGGTTTAAGCGCCAGCCTGGCAAGTTCAAGGACCCAGATTCAGTCCCCAGTACCCCACGCTGTGCTGGCCCAGAACCCCAGGCACACAGGGCCAGCCGCCAAAACCGAACGTAGTGACACATTACTGCAATCCCAGGGCTGGGAGGCAGGCCAGGGAGATCACTAAGAGTCCCAGCCACTTAGCGAGACTTGTAGTCACCATGCTGGGGAGATGGCTCAGTAGAATGAGTGCTTGCCTGGCAAGTGCAAGGGCCTCAGTTCAAACCCAGTTCTACAAAAAAACCCCACAAGGATAAGGATAGCAAGGACCAAGGTACTGCTGGGTGTCACAGCCCCCAGCTGTTGTCACACGTGCATGAGATCTGAGCTAAGGCAGGACTCTCCCAAAATACTTCTGGCATGCTTATAACTGCCCACTGAGAGGTTAAAGCAGGAGCGCTATGCGTTCAAGTGCCGCTAGGGAAAGCCACCAGAATCTATCAAAACTGGAAAGGGAGGGCAGGGGAGGTGGCTCAGAATAAGCGCTTCCCTGGCAAGCGCAAGGGCCTGAGTTTCAACCCCAGGTTCGGTGGGAAAAAGTCTTTATGAAGCTTGGCAGGCAGCAACCCTGGCATCCCCCCAGATCCAGAAGGACTTCCTGGCTGATGCAGGTGGGACAGGGATGGACACTACACACGCCAAGCACAAGAGGAGGGAGACCTTGTCTCCTAGGATTCCGCTGTGTGAAAGGTTGAGTCGGCAAATCCAAGGGCAGAGTAAAGCAGCAGCTGCCCGGGGTGGCGGTGGGAGGGGCAAGGCCTGACAGTTCCCTCAGGGTATGAACGTGCACTGGAATTAGTGGGGCTTCTCTGAGGACATTTTGGAGGGAAACTGGTATTTTCAGAAACTAGATCATGCAACCTGCAAAACACAAAACAGAACCCGAGAAATTCCATGTGACCTCCCCTTGACCTGCAAAGGTGCAATT